GCTTTTTTTTTTTTTTTTGGTTTTTTGAGATAGGGTCTCACTATGTAGTTGAGGCAGGAGGTGAAACCACTGAGCCAAATCCCCATCCCTCTCACTATGTAGTTGAGACTGAACTGGAACTCACTATGTAGCCCAGGCCGGTCTCAAACTCACAGCAATCCTCCTGCCTCAGCCTCCTGATGTGCACCACCACACCTGGCTCTCCCCTTCAGCATTTCTTGTGCACTGACTTCCTTCTACAAAATACAGAAGTTCGAAGAGCCCGAGTAAGCAGTTCAGTCAGGAAGTAAAATCATACTTAAGTGTGACACTTGTTTTAACTGTGGTAAAATGCACATGACATTAAATTACCATCATAACCATTTTTTAGTGTACAATTAAGTAATGATAAGTACACAAATTACCACCGTTCATCTGCAGAACTCCTTCTGTCTTTCCAAACTGAAACTCTCTGCCATTACATAAGAGCTCAACATCCTGCCTCCCCCAGCCCCTGGCACCCATACCGTCCACCTTGTCTCTATGTATACGTAATCTAGGGAGCTCACAGAAGTGGACTCATATAATATTTGTGCTGTTGTGTCTGGCTTATTTCACCCCAAAGTTCATCTTGAAGCCTGTTTCAGAATTTATTTCCATTTTAAGACTGAGTAATATTCCACCGTGTACATACACCACACCTAGTTTATATTTCCTCCGTGGCTGTACACTTAGGTTATATTCCAGTTTTTGACTATTGGAATAATGCTGCTATGAATGGGAATATTCAGATATGTGTTTGAATCTCTGCTTTCAATTTTTTTTTTTTTTGAGACAGGGTCTTACTATGTAGTTGAGACTGACCTGGAACTCATTATGACAGCCCAGGCTGGTCTCAAACTCACAGCGATCCTCCTGCCTCAGCCTCCTGAGTGCTGGGATTACAGGCATGCGCCACCATGCCCAGCTCAATTCTTTATATATACTAAGAGGGTTTTTTTAAGTCAAAATTTATGCAAAGTATGCACAACAAATACAGTATCAAAATTTTAACTTTTTTTTTCTTTCCGGTACTGGGGATTGAACTCAGGACCTTGTGTTTGCCAAGCAGGCTACGTGCTCAGCCCTAACATCAAAAGTTTAAAAGGAGATTTTCTGTAATTTTTTTCCCTTATGTGTCATACTTCAATGGCTCAGTGTGGCGCTAGAAGTTTAATCATTGCACTGTGTAAAGAAAACTGAGGATCCAAGAAGGGTTGCTCACTGTCACCTGGTTAACGGCACCAAGCAGCAGTGAGAGCCAAGGCGCCATTCACTTCCGGTCTGGCCAGGACCCCTTGCCAGTGTTCAGTGGGTTGCTGTAACACACAGTAGGCACTGCCCAAGTGGCTTGACTCTTCATTCTTCCTTGAAATGGAAATTTCAAGGATCTCTGCATCCCTTTGGTCTTTTTCTCTCACTACCTCAGGAAAGAAGGGACACATTTTAATCACATTCTAATTGCGCTATTCCCCTGCCACTGTAACTTGGGCAATTTTAACCAAATATTGTATTTGCAAATTCATTTCTAATTTATGCCCTGCCCACTTTCAGAAAAGATCAGAAGTGGGGACGAGGCGTTCATAAACGCACGGTGTGGAAGGGATCTATTCATGGCAGCGGGAGCCTGGTTAGGACGCCACTGCCTGGCCTCCCCCGCCTTCATTTCCCACTCTCGCTCAGCGGCAGCGGCAGAGGCTATAATTAATCCGCACCCGGGGCCTTGATCCGATCCGCACAGCCCAGAAAGTTAATTAAGCTAATTGCCACTACAAGGAAGTGATACCTCCTGTTCTTATGACTTCGTGCCGGGCCTGATATTGAAGAGCTGACTTCTTGGATATCTTCATCATTTGGCGTTTAGATTTGTCCTGTCTGGTCCCACGAGGTGGTCCTGGTCACCCTGCAGAAAAATGAAGAGCAGGGAATTTGTCTGCGAAACCACAGCCCCAGAGCTCTCGGCTCAGAGCCTGAGGAGCTCAAAACGCCTTTCCGGGGAGGCCCATTTAAAGAGCAGCCAGCCCCTCCCGTGGGGCACCACAGAGCAGAAGCAAAGCGGGACCGAAGCCAAGGGACACCAGTGATAAAGCTCATCCGAGAGGCAGAGAGGTGATGGGGACGAGTAACCCTCTCCTACCGAGGAGGGAAACCAAAGAGCCATAGGAGCCAGAGAGTGGGGAAGACGACCCAGCAGAGCTCCCGGGGGGAGCCAGAGGGAGTCGCAGAGCAGGAGCTGGAGGGGCTCCCACACCCGGGGTGGCCCTCTCGGAGAGCTGAGTGGGCGTCCAGGCGTCCTGCACTGTCGCAGAGGCGAAGTTGCCCCTGCTCGAGGGCGCTCAGCAAATCCGGCTGCAGAAGTACTATCCTCCTGAGAGGCTTCAAGTGGCAGAGGACGTCTGAGGACCAGGGGTGGCGCCTGCGCAGTGTGGGGAGGCTCAGCTGGCCCCCTCAACTCCCGGACCCGCCTGGCCTCGGTCGGCAAAGACCCTTGGCACCCTCAGGGCCCGCTGGCTGATTTCCCCTCTGGATCGCCACACTGAGAGGCCCCAGGGACTGGTGCCTCATCTAGGGTACAGGAGGGCTGGGAAGAGGGAGGAAGGAAGGAGAGGGAGAGGAAGCAGAATAAATTGTAAGTGCTAATGGGTTCCACTGAAATCAAGGAGAGTGCTGATCTGCAGGGTTCTCCTTGTGTGTATGCAGGGGGTATGGGGGACAAGCAGGTGGGAGAGTGGACTCAAGCCTGGGCCGCTGTACTGAGCTACACCCCCAGCCTTTTTCATTTTTTATTTTTGAGACAGGGTCTTGCTAAGTTGCCCAGGCTTGAATTTGTGATCCTACTGCCTCCACTTCACAGGGGGCTGGGATTATGGGTGTGTACCATGACGCCTGGCTTTGCAGAGTTTTCAAGGCCAAGGGCCACCCCTACACCACTCTAGTCTTCAAGCTCCTACCACGTCCTGGCCCGTGGGCTGAGGGACAGAAAAACCCTTCTAGACAAAGTCAGCTGTGAATGTTCTCTGGGTCTTTGTTTTCTTAGCTATAAAAGTGAAACCAACTCAAGTTAGAGTACAGTGCCTGTTGAACTGGTTTATCGTTGGAGTCCTGCTTCTAGTCTCTGATTCTAAAAACACAGGAGATGAAAGTTATGGTACCATCGTTTGGGAAACATGACTTGCTCAGTTTAAAAATCACCTGGAAAATGACTCAGGAGTTTTGTTTGTTTGTCTGTTTGTTTTTGTTTTGGTGGTGGTGGTGCTTTTGGGCAGTACCAGGGATTGATCTTGGGATTTTCACACTGAACTACATCCCTAACCCTTCCTTAATTTTGAGACAGGGTGTTGGTAGTTACTAAACTGCCCAGGATGAGCTCAAACTTGGGATCGCTCCTGCCTCGGTCTCTCAAAGTGCTGGGATGTACCACCATATACCACCATGCCCAGCTAGAAAATAACTAACAATGATGGCACTGAACCCCTGCCAAGTGTTGGTCTGTGCTCTTGACATGTTTTTTCTCTTCCACCTCACAACAGCCCTGCGAGTTAGCTACTGTTATTACCCTTATTTGGGGGAGAAGAACTGAGACTTGGAAAAATTGTATGTCTAACCCAGGGTCACACATAGTTACAGAGCAAAGGACCAGGACTGTTCTTTTCTGTTTCTGGAAGCTGAGCTGGTAGCTCCTTTGCTGTGTAATGTGAGCTGGGTCTCCTTGGGTTCATTTTCTGCAGAGACCAAGAGTTCTCAAAAGTCCCTCATGAGCTTTGCACAGATTGGGCCCAGTTTATTTCACGTCACATACATCATTTAGGTACATTAGAACCTCCCCTAAAGAGTTAAAACTTGTTCTGGAGCTTTCTTCTAAGGCGACCTTAGTACAAAATTTCTTCAACCCTTTCTCTGCATACATCTCAGTGTGTTTTACAAATCGGGATTTTTGTTCTGCATTCATCTTATAAAATTCAGGCCTAGGGCCGGGGATCTAGCTCAGTGGTTCGGTGGCCTGCCTTGCAAGCGCAAGGACCCAAGTTCAATCCCGGGTACCAAAAAACAAACAAACAAACAAAAAATTCAGGCCTGTGCATGTCTGCTCAGGTGATACAAGCAAGCATATTACTATTTATTTTTATGAATCACAATGTTTCCTCATATTGCCCAACCAAAATGAAGAAAATAATATCTGATTCCTATATCAGACTGGAGCTGTCTTCATAAATTCTAACGTCAAATGTTTGTGTTCTTAGAATATCACAGCTGCCCTAATGAATTGATTTCACAAGAAGCTGTCAGGCATGTACTTGTACTAAATCATGTACACAAGTATACTATGAATCTGCCTTATACATGTAGGACCTAACACCTGAGACCTTGTTAGAGAAAAAGGATCCAGTTGCTTAATAATTCTGGGAACCATTGAGAATCATCTGATCCTTAGATCATCTTTACAATCCCTTGTAGCCACATTCAGGGAAGACGATCATGCGGTCCAGGGTTCAGAGAGATCAAAAAAGAGTTCCTTAAAATACAGTCTCTACTGTGTATCTTGGGGATGGCACGGTGGTTTTGAGGAAAGAAGAGGCACACGTGAGAGATGTGTGAAGGTGCAGGGGTGAGAGGCAGTGCTAGGACGGGAAGTGTCCTTTCTTGTGGATCCACCGCCTTGCCTTCTGTTGCTGGTCACTCACTGACAGGTGCGTTGAAGCCATTTTCATGGCTGCTGGACTTTCAGTCTATTTTCCAGCCCACCACAACACTTACACCGCTCTTCTAATAGTCACCAGTGACCTCACAGCCACAATGGACAGACCTTTCTGGAGCGGTTTCTACTTTTGTTTCTTTTCTTTTCTTTTTTGAGACAGGG